GTATATTTATATATATTTATATTTATATATATTTATATATATTTATATATATTTATATATATTTATATATATTTATAGGTAAAAGATGCAATTCTTCGTCATACAATGATAAATAAAATAAAATTAACTAAAAATTGTGTAGAAGTTGTGAATGAATGGAAACTTCGCGTCTTACCACCAGGCGGTGACCAAATATTCTTCCAGATACAGGCATTAAAAGCAGGTATTTATTTATTTTTTTTATTTTTTTTTATTTTATTTATTTTATTTATTAATAATATTTATTATTTTGTTGTAATATATCAACAGAATTCATGCAGGCGGGCAGGCAGGCAGGCAGGCATGCATACATGCATGCATGCATGCAGGTATTTTCTGCATGCATGTATGTATGCATGCATGCATGTAGGTATTGGCTGTATGCATGCATGCAAGAAGGAGTATTCCTTTTTGTGTTATATATATTATGTATATATATGTGTATAGGTTTATTAGAGGTAGTATTATCTGGATATAAGGATGTAAAAAGAGGAGTAATAAAACATGAGGAAGTACGAGATAATGATGGTAATATAAGACATGTATATGCATTAGCAGTAGAGGGATACGGATTAAGGGAGGTCATGGGTACACCAGGAGTTAAGGCTGTTAGTGTTACATCTAATCATGTTGCTGAGGTCGCACAGGTACGTCGTAAATTACCCTCATATTTATTCATCCATGCATGCATCCATGCATGCATCCATGCATGCATGCATCCATGCATGCATGCAAGGAGTAGCAGCTGCACATTAGGGATTTGTTTATCCATCTGCTGATAGCTTCCCATGTTGCAAACACCCAAACAACTACTTTGCTCGTCTGCATGCATGCATGTATGTATGCATGTATGTATGTACACTATTATGCATGCATGCATGGATGCATGGATGCATGCAGGCATGGATGCATGGATGCATGCATGCATGCATGCATGGATGCATGGATGGATGGATGGATGGATGCATGCATGCATACATGGATGCATGAATGCATGGATGCATGCATCTCTGTGTGTGTGTCTGCCTGCCTGTATACAGATACTAGGTATAGAGGCAGCTCGTCAAGTAATTATTAACGAAATACGTAAATGTATGGATGCATATTCAATGGATATAGACTGTAGACATATGACTCTATTAGGAGATGTAATGACATTCAGGTACTTTTTTCTTACCTTTTTATCTATTTTTATCTATTTTATTTATTATTTATTCTTTATTTATATTATTATATACTATTTAAGTATATAATTAACTTTTCTTATTTGTTTTCTTCTTCTTTTTCTCCTCTTGTTCGTTCTTGTTGTACCAAGACTTCCTTCCTCATGCAGATTTTGTTGTTTGTCTTAACAATATATATATAAATATATAATGTATTATTTATTGTACATTTATTTATTTATTTATTATTATTTAATTGTATATTTATTTATTTATTATTATTTAATTGTATATATTTATAACTTAATAAAAATCCTTCTTGTTCTGCATGCATGCATATGTGTATATTATGTTCATGTTTGCATCATGCCCATCAATCAATATAACTAAAAATCTCCTTAATTATAAATAATAACAATAAATAAATAATAAATAAATAATAAATAATAATAATAAATAATATATTTAAAATATA